TAATCTTAAAATTACCTTCCACAAAGTTAAAGCACATCAGAATGATATATTCAACAATAAAGCTGATCAACTAGCTTGTGACCACCTCAATTTATCATAAACACAGCGCATTTTCAAACCAAACATTATCTAGTGTGGTGTACAACCATGTGCTTCGTGTGTGGAGGAATTATATAATACAACGAAGGTATCAACAATATTAACTCAGTCCTTCTGTTGTAGTTGACTATTTTTATCCCATAGCATTTTAGTAAAACCACGACCAACAGTCTGGTTAAGATGTTTAACCTGGCCTTGTAATTGTGGGTAATAAGGGCGACCATGTCTAATAGTAATACCCAAAGTTCTACATATTTGGGTGAGGATTGTCACGACAAACTTCTTGCCATTGTCACTTTGAAGAATCGTGGGGGGCCCAGAATCTTAAAAACGTCCTTTACAAGGTGACTTGCAACAGTATTAGACTCCTTGTTTTTTAGAAAGACAGCTACAAGGAATTTTGAAAACACACAAATGCATGTAAGTAACCATGCAAAATCATCATTTATCTCCATGTAGTCACGAAAGTCCACAAAATCAATCTGAACATGTTCCCACGGTGCTGCAGATACTACTGGCATCAGATCAGTCTTTTCTTTAAGGTAAGTGCTCACCGCACAAGAGGCATATTTGTTGATATATGCTTGGACTTCTTCCTGCATAATTCCAATATGGTGTTCTGAAATAGCAGCGAAAGTCTTGTGATAGTTACAGTGGTTTGCTTGATTGTGAAAATGCTGTAATATCTGAGTGCGCAATTCTTGGTCATACTTAGGGACCACCCGGTGTTTTTCAAATGTAACGCCATTCTTCACAATAGCAGGAGTGTATAAGGCTCTATTTTTGTCTAACACAAATTTTGCACATTGACGAATAAAGTTTGTTTTGGCACACTTTTTTAGAACATTTTTAGATATCATTTTTGAGTGAAGATATTCCACTATCGTTTGGTATTCAGCTTCTGTCTCAGGGATTTTTGGGATTGCCGGTATAAGTCAATAAAAAAAAAAAAGTTTTTTCAAAAAAAAAAATAAAAATAAAAATAAAAAAAAACCCCGCAGAAGAAACTCTTGCAAAAAAATGGGTTGGACGAAAAAAAAAACTTAAAACCCGCAGAAAGGGAAAAATTGCAAGAAAAAAAAAACTTGCTAAAAAACAGGTCGGTCAAAAAAATAAACTTGGTCGTTGGATACTTAAAAGCGCAGTATGTGAGCAAACATAAAAAAAAGAGAATTTTTATACACAATATGCATAACAAAACAATGATATGCATTGTTGTATTGTGCAATTTCCAGGCCGAATGGTATGTACAGCATGATTGATATGTGACATGATCTGCAATTTCCGGCCTGAAACATCATGTGATATTCAGCATCAGCCAAATTCAGCTTTAGCCGTCACAATAAATATAATAATAATGAATTCCAATAATTTTATTTCAATTGAAGAATCTGATGTTTTCCCAATTAAATGTAAAAATTGAATATCAGTTTTTATCCCTCTAGGTTACTCACCAATTCTTATTTGCAAAGAAGCCACGAAAAATTTGAAAACAATCAAGGAATTTCCAGAATTAAATATACGTATTCCAGCATTGATCTATAATCCTGTTATGCATTCACAAAACTCTTTTTTATTATTCAGAAATGAAATAAAAGATGAAATAATTAAAGATAATCCAAATATAGACACTCGTCAAATTTCAAAAATCGCAGGAAACAAATAGAAAAAACCATCAGAATATGAAAAATCACAATATAAGCTACAGTCCAAAAGACTAAGAATGCAATTCAAATCCAAAAACTTAAAATGCAAATATAAAACAAGAAAACAATATTTACTTAAAAGTCTTTCAGTACTCTTTCAATCGATTATTTAGAGTAAACAACAATATTGTATCTCAGATTAAAAAGGTCCATTTTGCAAATAATTTTCTTTATATTGAATGTTTATCTCAAAAAAAAAATAAAATAAAATAAAATAAAATAATTTTTTAAAAAATTGTCAAAATGAACCTTTTAATGTGAGGCCCTCCAATTTTCAAAATTTTATTTATTTGTAAATTATATGATATGAATTTTGACGCTATTGAATGATTGTAAAGTCTTACTTTTATCTTTAACCGGATATGACCCTTATTTCGGTTATTAATGTAAGAAAATAATGATTAATTCTCTTTAAGTTATAAAATAAAGTTCTTTAAAATTTTACAGTATAGCTATCCTGATGCTAATTTAGCAATAGATTATAATAAATTTACTAATGCTGGAGTAATCAGTTTTTTAGTAGACTTGATTTATGGGCTCTTTTTCTATTCGATTTAACATAAACAAAGAACTTTGATAGTTAGTATGAAAATTTAATGCGGCTTCTAAAACAATTCAAAATTTCAATTGTTAATAAACCATTTTATTAGAATAAAATCATCATATGAAGAAATGTGTCTTGTGAAAAAAAGAGTTCAAAACTATATCTAATCTATGGGGAGTATTTTTTGATAAAATAAAAACTTATATGAAGGTAATAATTATTAGCCTGATAGTTATCTTAAATTTAATTAACTTTATGTGTATTAGTAATAGAAATTGAAGATAATATAGACATTGATATTGAAAACACTGATGATACAGAAAAAAACTATCCCTTAAGCTGTAGAGTTCGTGTAACAATTTTAGCTTAAAAATAGCATAAATTTAGTTATGATCTATTT